GTGGACAGGTGTTACCCCCGTTCGAAGAGTAGAAAGCTGAGGCTGAGAGGTGCGTGGGCCATGGTTGCTGCCACAGGGCTGGGACTGGAAGCCGGCTCTGCGTCCTGGGCTCAGGCAGGGCTCTTTACTGCAGCCTCCGGCCGCTGTAACCAGTGCCAGCTGTGGAGGGCTGCCTGTCTCCAACTCCTTTTCTCTGCCCTGAAACAGCTACCATTGGCACTGGGCACATGCCAGGGCTCCAGAAGATGGAATAAAGATGAATGTCCCCTCTTGTACTGTCAGCCACTGTCTTCTGAGGGGGCTGGAAGACTTCCCTCCTGGGCTGGGCTCAGCCTCTGCCAGCTCTCCAGGAGCCACCATGTCACAGATGCCTGGAAGGAGGGGCTGGTGGGACCACACTAATGGAATGGCTAAGTCAGCAGTCCACCTCCGAGAGCCTCCTCTTCCTGGGTGCCCTGCTTTAGTCACGCCTGTCCTAGTCTTTAGCTCATCTAGGGTGATCATCAGACCAAGGGGATCACCAGGATTCACGACTTCTGACTTTAAAACCCAGACAAGTTGGTCACTCTGCTTCTCTCTGCCCAGTCCTGAATGACATGGTTTCCCTCATGGGGCCCCATGCCTCTCCTGCTTTACCGCGGTCATTGCTGTTGTTGAGGGCCTATGAACACATGGCTCATGGCATCCGTGGCCTTGAACCTTCCGGCTTCCTCCTGGCCTGCCGCAACAGCTTTGCTGGCCCACTGCACCTAGTGCTAAGCCTGCTACCCGCATGGGCTGGGCTCAAGGGCTCTCCTGCAGCCATTTGCTCGATGGCACCTGCACCTACTGTGTGCCCGGGATGCACAAAAGCCCCTGCAGTGAGGAGCAGCTCCCATTCCCCAGGAAGCGTGCAGTTATGAGAGCTATGTTGGGGGCAGGCTTCTTGGAGGTGACATGGGATTGTGGCCGTGTCTGTGGCACATCTCAGAGGAAGCATCTTGTGCAAAGGTGCAGCTGTACTACGAATGTGGCACATTCTGAGAAGACCAAGCAGTCCAGGGAGGACGGAGCACTGGGCGGGTGTGGAGGAGAGGGCTGGGGCTGCACTGCAGGGGCAGCGAAGGCCTGGCCTGGCACATCCAGGTGCTTCACTCGGCAGAGAGGGGTCAGTTAATGAGGGGCATCCACTGGCCACAAGGGATCTGGCTCCTTCCTGATCCAGATGGGAGAATTAGGCTTCTACCCCTATCCCCAGTTGTTTTCTGAAAGTGGTTCCCCCCATGTGGCCAGAGGGAAGTGCATGGGGGAAGGCCTGGCCTTGGGTTGATGTTCTTGTATTAGAGCCCTTGGTCTCTAACCCCTGAGCATTACAATCACCTTGGGCAACTCCCAATGCCCAGGCTGCACTCCAGGCCAATAAGTGGGTGAAAGGAAGACCCACAATGGGCTTTAAAGCTCCCAAGGGAATTCCAATGCAGAGCCAAGGTTGGGAAGCCCATGCTCGAGGGACAGGGGGACAAGGCAGGGAGGGATGGCTCAGAGGCTCCATGGAGGGGGGCATTTACCAATGGCACCTGGGGGCCCAGCACCCCTGCCCACTCCTCTCCCATATGCCTTCCATATGAATTGAAAAGGACACAGAAAACGGGGAAGGAATGACACTTTGCTTTCCTGGCTTCTAAGTACAGCAGGCCTCCCGTAGAGGGTTCAGGGCCCATCAGCCGCAGACAGGGCTATGCTGCCCCCTAGTGGCAAGGCCTGAGAACAGCTTTCACTACTCAAGATTCCCCCACTTCCAGTAGAAAATTACTTCTGAACAGAGAACTTGCGTGGTACCATCTGAAAGGTCTGCACCAAACACCTTATAGCTCTGCACCCGATGCCGGCAGGCTGCACCGTCTCGGCCTCCTGCACACCTCTCAATCTCCCCAGACTCCAGCAGAGCATCCCACGGGAAGTGTGGGAGGTAAGTGGGCCCGCAGTTCCAAGCTAGACAGTGGGGCTGGCCACACGAGGACCCAGATCCTCCCAAACTCCCCGTGAGGCCTTCAGTCACCACAGCTTAGCCCTCTCCCCTTGTCTTCACAATAAGGATAAATGATGGAGAACGTAAGTCAGAGGGTTCGAGGTTGGCAGGGATGGAGCCAGGAAAATGCCCGTCTCACTTCCACTAAGGCCTATAGGTAAGCTGCTTATGAAGGGCCTGGGCCTTCCCTTGAGCAAATGTCACCCCAACTCCCGAGGAGACAGTAACAGATGACGCTTCCTTCTCTGCTGTGGCTACTGGAGCTCAAAGCCAAATTATGGCTGCCCCAGAAGATTTCTTAGGGCGTTAAAACTTGAGTTCCTTTTCCTGGTATGACATTCTACTCCGACTTGATCTGATCTTGTGCCTCACTTTGTATCTCACTGTTTCAGTTATTTCCTCAAAGTCTCCTCAAATCTTCTCTGGATTAAGATAGGGTACTTTAGGACTTCATTTTGGACTTGACAGGTTTTGTTCTTTACACAGTGTATGCTGAGCCAGTTCAGCATATTCTTTCAAATCTTTAGGACAGAAGTTTTCTGTCTAGGAGACAGTGGTTCCAAAACATACACCTCAGAATCACCTTAGAGGTCAGGTGCGGTGGCTCACGCCTGTAACCCCAGCATTTTGGGAGGCTGAAGGGGGGCGGATCACTTGAGGCCAAGAGTTCAAGAGCAATCTGGCCAAGACAGCAAAACCCCGTCTCTACTAAAAATACACACACACACACATATATATGGCCAGGCATGGTGGCACACACTTGTAGTCCCAGCTACTCAGGAGGCTGAGGCACGAGGATCACCTGAACCCAGGAGGCAGAGGTTATGATAAGCCAAGAATGTGCCACTGCACTCTAGCCTGGGTGACAGAGCAAGACTGTTTCAAAAAAAAAAAAAAAAATCACCTTAGAGACTTTAAAAAGGCTCCAATTCAGGTCTGGAGCAAGCCCCAGGAATATGTAATTGTAAAGTTTTCAAAACCACTGCTTCAGAAGCAGCCAGCCCAGCTCCTGGCCATTGAGCAGTGTTTGCGAATCTCGCCTAGAAACATAAAAAAGGGGGCCATTAGTTACAAAAATGAGTATCAAATTCCTTTACAAAGTATGATTTTCTAAATAAAATAAATCTCAACTTTATTCAGCTGATGTGCTTCAGAAACAATGGGTGTAAACCCAAATTAGCAAATCAAACCCTTTCAAATCACCAGGGCAAAGGGTAGACAGACCACTGCAGTGAAGTCTTCTAAAAAATCAAGACATCCCCCCGCCCCCACTTACTCGGTCTTGGAGTTTGGCTTTTCTTACAGTGGTCACTCCTGAAGTAAACGTCCATGTAATAAAGAGATCCCAAGCTCCTCTTGGTAACCCACCTGTTTTAAATCACAATAGGCACACCAAACAAGGTCACAGGGGCTGCCTACTGAAGTTCTTTGCATCAGCTCGACCTAAGAAGTCACCCCCGACTCCACTAGAGGGTGCTCTTTCCCTGGCCTGGACTGTTCCCTACACTCTGAGGCAGTGTGGAGTCAGTGTTAGACGGAGATCTATCTTTCACCAGGCACTGAAAGCAGATGTGTGAGGAAAAGTGGTCATGTGACAACACGCATTATCAGTGCTCCTGGGTCTCCAGACACTCTGGCTGCTGTTCAGCCCCAGGTGGTAAAGACCCACAAACCACCTCTGCAATTTTTATTCCAAAATAGAGACAACTGGCTCGGAAGGTGCAGCATGAGGGTTCATCAAAGCCAACCGCTGTCAAGTGTGGAAACCCACTGGTGCACACCACGAAAACGTCCTATCAGTCCATGCATGATGGGTGCGGGGACTTCTGCCTCCCAGAGTTCAAGTCCAAATGGCTCAGCTGCTCCTTGCAGACCTTCCTCCCGAGTGCTCTCTGGCAGGATCCTTGGTGCCTGTCACAGTCTCAGAATCCATTTTATGGACTACCAAGAGCCCCATGCCAGGTCCCTGGCACTGCAGCGGTACTGGGTGTAATGGAAATGTCTTCGTGCCTCCCCAAAGCTAGATCTGGGTCTAAAGATGCTGCAACCACTGGGTCCACACCCCCGCCACTGCTTTCACACTGACAGGGCCCCAGCCCTTTTTAGGAGTCACAGATCCCTCCTTCCTTGGAAACCTAGGCCCCATTTGGCCCGGAGGGATAGGAACAGTGGAGATCTCATCTGACCAAAAGTGTGAAATCAGCACCCAGGAAACTCCGTTAACAATCTGGACAATTGAGAAAACTCACCAGAGAAGAGGAACACAGACAAGAAGGGAAATAAGACAGAAGACAGTTCAAGTGACAAGGAACTAACAGAGAGCAGGTGGAGCAGCACAACCAAAGGCGGGTTAATATTGGGCAGGTTTCCAGTTCTAAAGGATTTTGAGTGTCATGTTCTGGTCATGAAGCTACTGTGCCCAGGGCTGGCAGGGCTGGCAAGGCCTGTGGTAAATGAGAAAATACACTCACCAGGTCTTTCTGGGACTTTCAGTGATTAATCATGTTAGACGGACTTCAAGATACACTGGCTTTATAATAAATTCCACAACACACCGGTATTAGTACAGCCTGAATCCAGGGCTGGTCAGAGAATGGAAAAGGTGGTAGTCCCTGAAAACAGAGTGTTACAAGGACATATGCACTAGAGGTGTCTCCAAGGTGGCATCTGCCCACACTGGCTGCACAAAATGGGGGTCTGGCTGGCAAGTGCTAATATATTTCAGGGAAGAGAAGAAAACCAAAGAATTAGAGATGCTGAAACTAGGGCTGAGACTGGAATTGGCAAATCACAAATCTTTGCTCACAGCTCCTTTCTGAGGGGCAAAGGCCCGCAAGGCCTGATCATAGGTGCTAAGCCACTGCGCAGTCTCTGAACCTTAAAAGCCAACCATTCTATTAACAACTAGAAAAAATCAGCGACTAGGGTCAAGACTGAATACTCCCAGGGAGTAACACTGGCCTCACTTTAGACAGGAGAAACTCCCAACCGCAGTGTGGAAAATCTTACTTGTTATCGGCAACAGCACTGCCATCTTGTTTCCCCTAGGTAGCTGCTTCCAGGGAAAGGTGACAAGTACGGCAGTTAGTCATCTACACGTCACTGGGGTGCACGGGAGGTGGCCAGGATGTGAATGACCTACTATTTAATATAATGGGTGTGAGAAAATGAGGCCTCTTTCCTCTCCTTTTCACTTTTGCTCCAGCCTACCAGGAGCTGGAAAGGCCGGATGGTGACAAGGTTTGAACTGTGTGGACGGTACTGCACGAAGGCCTCACTGTGGACACATTCCCAGGGCGCACATCAGCTGTGTGAACAAAGTCACCCAAGCCATTCTTTCCCTCCCCTAGTAAGAGTGAGAGTGAGACGGAACTGGGACTTCTTCCATTCCCTAAGCACTGCACATCCTGGTGGCACTAGCTCCCCCTCCAAGACGTCACAGAAAACAAAGCAGGTTGGCAACTATATCACAATCACTCCTGAGTGTCTTCACAGTTAAGACAGGCACACGTGTCAAAAGGCAGCCTCTGGGCCCCCCATCCCCGTTTTCACGCGCACACACTCACACACACTCGTACGCTGTAGGAACGCTGTTCAGCCGTTGAGTGTGGCTGGCTCATGTCAGGTAGTGCACCACGAGGAACATGACCGTAAGGGTCACCAGCATCCCGCCGATCATGAAGTACTTGTCCTGGAAAGCCCGCTTCTCGATGAGCCTCATCACCGTGTTGGACAAGCCCAGCATGTTGGCAATGTCGAGGATCTTCTTCTGAGTGCCCTGAGGCAGAAAGAACAAACAAACAAGCACACATCAAGTCGCTTTGCCAAGGGTGGGTGAGTGTCATCAGGAGATGGAGCTTTGCCAACAGACATTTTCTTGGTCATGCCCAGAACACACAGAAGGCAATGTCAGCCAGAAATAGAGCCACTTTCATGTGGTCGACTGATTTTTGATCAAGGTACTAGAGCAGTACAAAGTAGAAAGAAAAGTCTTTTCCACAAATGATGCTGGAACGACTGGTTATATATCACAGATATGTATGTGTGTGTGTGTGTGTGTGTGTGTGTGTGTGTGTGTGTGTGTGT